GGGTCAGGGATAGTGGTAGGGGGCTAGGGATAGTGGTAGGGGTAGTGGTTGGGGCTAGGGTTAGTGTCCAGAGTACTGGTAGGGATAGTGCTGGGGGTTAGGGATAGTGGTAGGGGGCTAGGGATAGTGGTAGGGGTAGTGGTTGGGGCTAGGGTTAGTGTCCAGAGTACTGGTAGGGATAGTGCTGGGGGTTAGGCATAGTGGTGGGGGATAGTGGTAGGGATAGTGCTGGGGGTCAGGGATAGTGGTAGGGGCTAGGGATAGTGGTAGGGGTAGTGGTTGGGGCTAGGGTTAGTGTCCAGAGTACTGGTAGGGATAGTGCTGGGGGTTAGGGATAGTGGTAGGGGGCTAGGGATAGTGGTAGGGGTAGTGGTTGGGGCTAGGGTTAGTGTCCAGAGTACTGGTAGGGATAGTGCTGGGGGTTAGGCATAGTGGTGGGGGATAGTGGTAGGGATAGTGCTGGGGGTCAGGGATAGTGGTAGGGGGCTAGGGATAGTGGTAGGGGTAGTGGTTGGGGCTAGGGTTAGTGTCCAGAGTACTGGTAGGGATAGTGCTGGGGGTTAGGGATAGTGGTAGGGGTCTAGGGATAGTGGTAGGGGTAGTGGTTGGGGCTAGGGTTAGTGTCCAGAGTACTGGTAGGGATAGTGCTGGGGGTTAGGGATAGTGGTAGGGGGCTAGGGATAGTGGTAGGGGTAGTGGTTGGGGCTAGGGTTAGTGTCCAGAGTACTGGTAGGGATAGTGCTGGGGTTAGGCATAGTGGTGGGGGATAGTGGTAGGGATAGTGGTGGGGGTCAGGGATAGTGGTAGGGGGCTAGGGGTAGTGGTAGAGGTAGGGTAGTGGTGGGGGTAGTGGTGGGGGCTAGGGGTAGTGGTAGGGGGCTAGGGGTACTGGTAGAGGTAGGGATAGTGGTGGGGGTCAGGGATAGTGGTGGGGGCTCGGGGTAGTGGTAGTGGTAGGGGTAGTGGTAGGGGGTAGTGGTAGTGGTGGGGGTAGTGGTAGGGGTAGTGTTGTTGGGGGCTAGTGGTAGTGGTGGGGGTAGTGGTAGGGGGCTAGGGGTAGTGGTGGGGGTAGTGGTAGGGGGCTAGTGGTAGTGGTAGGGGGTAGTGGTAGTGGTGGGGGTAGTGGTAGGGGGCTAGGGGTAGTGGTGGGGGTAGTGGTAGGGGCTAGGGGTAGTGGTAGGGGGTAGTGGTAGTGGTGGGGTAGTGGTAGGGGGTAGGGATAGTGGTGGGGGTAGTGGTGGGGGTAGTGGTAGGGGGCTAGGGGTAGTGGTGGGGGTAGTGGTAGGGGGCTAGGGGTAGTGGTGGGGGTAGTGGTAGGGGGCTAGGGGTAGTGGTGGGGGTAGTGGTAGGGGGCTAGGGGTAGTGGTGGGGGTAGTGGTAGGGGGCTAGTGGTAGTGGTAGGGGTAGTGTTGTAGGGGGCTAGGGGTAGTGGTAGGGGTAGTGTTGTGGGGGGCTAGGGGTAGTGGTAGGGGTAGTGTTGTTGGGGGCTAGGGGTAGTGGTGGGGGTAGTGGTAGGGGGCTAGTGGTAGTGGTGGGGGTAGTGGTAGGGGGCTAGTGGTAGTGGTGGGGGTAGTGGTAGGGGGCTAGGGGTAGTGGTGGGGGTAGTGGTAGGGGGCTAGTGGTAGTGGTGGGGGTAGTGGTAGGGGGCTAGTGGTAGTGGTGGGGGTAGTGGTAGGGGACCAGGGCTGGTGGCAGCACGAGGCGTCTCACAGTGAGTGCAGGGTGAGCGTGGAGGTAGTCGTCGTCCTCGTCATAGTGGTGGTGGGGGGGTCGAGGCAGTCCTCTCACGTTTATCGTTCACTCGGAGGGTTTTTTTTGCCCCCACGCGCGGCAGCTAGGGTTGGTGGACCACGCACGGACGGTGCCACGCTGCCTTCTAACCGTGGGTGGGTGTCGGGGAGGAGCCGTGGCCCCCCCCCCCCTCCCGTCGGGCTCTGGCAGGAGAGAGCTTGGAGCCTTGCCCTCTCTGCTCGCAACGCAATTCCTCGCACGTGCTTGTACAGAGACCTGAGTTGGCTAAATATGTCCTCATATATAGCGGTCTGCAGAGCTTGGACGGGTGTTGGTAGTGCCGGCGAAATGAGTGGGTGGGTGGGCGGGCGGGTAGCAGGTGAGTCAGTGAATGAGTGGGCAAGCGGGTGGGTGGGTGAGTGAATGATGGAGTGAGTGAATGAATGAGCGAGTGAGTGAATGGGTGAGTAAATGGGTGAGTGGGTGAATGAATGAGCGTGTGAGTGAGTGAATTGGTGAGTAAGTGGATGGGTGGGTGAATGAATGAGCGAGTGAGTGAGTGAATGGGTAAGTGGGTGGGTGAATGAATGAGCGAATGAGTGAGTGAATTTGTGAATAAGTGGGTGGGTGAATGAATGAGCGAATGAGTGAGTGAATTTGTGAATGGGTGGGTGAGTAAGCGGGTGAGTGCGTGAATGTGTGGATAAGCGGGCGGGTGGGTGGGTGAATGAGCGGGTGAGTGAGTGAATGGGTAAGTGGGTGGGTGAATGAGCGGGTGAGTGAGTGAATGGGGAAGTGGATGGGTGAATGAGCGAGTTAGTGAGTGAATGCGTAAGTGGATGAGCGAATGAATGAGCGAGCGAGTGAGTGAATGGGTAAGTGGGTGGGTGAATGAGCGGGTGAGTGAGTGAATGGGAAAGTGGATGGGTGAATGAGCGAGTGAGTGAGTGAATGCGTAAGTGGGTGGGCGAATGAATGAGCGAGCGAGTGAGTGAATGGGTAAGTGGGTGGGTGAATGAGCGGCCGAGTGAGCCTATGAGTGTGCGACTGAGCAGGTGAGTGGGTGGGGAGTGGTTAGCGCTCTGCGCTACGAACCCGGCGACCCAAGTCTGATTACCGCTCACGGCCAATACCAATGACGATTATCTGTACGGGTGGGTGGGTGAGCAGGTGGGTGGGTGGGTGAGCGGGTGGATGGGTGAGCGGGTGAGCAGGTGGATGGGTGGGTGGGTGAGCAGGTGGGTGGGTGGGTGAGCGGGTGGATTGGTGGGTGGGTGAGCAGGTGGATGGGTGGGTGAGCAGGTGGGTGGGTGGGTCAGTGGGTGGATGCGTGGGTGGATGAGTGAGTGAGTGGATGACTAAGTGAGTGGGTGGATGGGTGGGTGGGTGAGTGAGCGGGTGGATGGGTGGGGGTGAGCGAGGGGTCGGCCGAGCGAGGGGGTGGGTGAGCGAGGGGGTGGGTGAGCGAGGGGGCGGGTGAGCGAGGGGGTGAGCGAGGGGCTGGGCGAGCGAGGGGCTGGGCGAGCGAGGGGCTGGGCGAGCGAGGGGGTGAGCGAGCGAGTGGGTGGGCGAGCGAGGGGTCGGGCGAGCGAGGGGGTGGGCGAGCGAGGGGGTGAGCGAGCGAGGGGGTGAGCGAGGGGGTGGGTGAGCGAGGGGGTGGGTGAGCGAGGGGGTGAGCGAGGGGTGGGCGAGCGAGGGGTCGGGCGAGCGAGGGGGTGGGCGAGCGAGGGGGTGGGCGAGCGAGGGGGTGAGCGAGCGAGGGGGTGAGCGAGGGGTTGGGTGAGCGAGGGGTTGGGTGAGCGAGGGGGTGGGTGAGCGAGGGGTGAGAGAGCGAGGGGTGGGCGAGCGAGGGGTCGGGCGAGCGAGGGGGTGGGCGAGCGAGGGGGTGGGTGACCTTGAGTGTGCGGTGTGGGGTGGACGTGCTGGTGGGACTAACCAGCCGTGTCATTGGGAGCTGTCAGGGACCCCGCGGGTGGGGGAGGGGCGGCGTGGGGGGAGGGGGGTGAGTGACCGAGCGAGTGAGTGATTGGGTGGGTGGGTAATTGGGTGGGTGGGTGAGTGGCTGGCTGGGTGAGTGGGTGGGTGGGTGAGTGAGTGGGTGAGTGGGTGGGTGGGTGGGTGGGTGGGTGGGTGAGTGGGTGGGTGGGTGGGTGAGTGGGTGGGTGGGTGAGTGGGTGGGTGGATGAATGGGTTGGTGGGTGAATGGGTGGGTGGGTGAATGGGTGGGTGAATGGGTGAGTGGGTGGGTGAATGGGTGAGTGGGTGGGTGAATGGGTGAGTGGGTGGCTGGGTGGGTGAGTGGGTGGGTGGGTGGGTGAATGGGTGAGTGGCTGGGTGGGTGAGTGGGTGGATGGGTGGGTGAGTTGGTGGATGGGTGAGTGGGTGGATGGGTGAGTGGGTGGGTGAGTGGTTGGTTGGCTGAGTGGGTGGATGGGTGGGTATGTGGGTGGGTGAGTGGTTGGTTGGCTGAGTGGGTGAGTGGGTGGATGGGTGAGTGGGTGGATGGGTGGATGGGTGGGTGAGTGGGTGGATGGGAGGGTGGGTGAGTGGGTGGATGGGTGGGGTGGGTGAGTGGTGTGGATGGGTGAGTGGGTGGATGCCTGGGTGAGTGGGTGGATGGATGGGTGAGTGGGTAGAGGCGTGGGTTAGTGAGTAGGTGGGTGGGTGAGTGGGTGGGTGGGTGTTTAAGTGGGTGGGCGGGTGTTTGGGTGGGTGAGTGCGTGGATGGGTGGCTGAGTGCGTGGGTGAGTGGGTGGAGGCGTGGGTGGGTGGATGGGTGGGTGAGTGGGTGGATGGGTGAGTGGGTAGGTGAGTGGTTGGATGGGTGGGTGGGTAAGTGGGTGGATGGGTGGGTGAGTGGGTGGATGGGTGGGAGGGTGAGTGGGTCGATGGGTGAGTGGGTGGGTGAGTGGGTGGATGGGTGACTGGGTGGATGCCTGGGTGAGTGGGTGGATGGATGGGTGAGTGGGTGGAGGCGTATGTTAGTGAGTAGGTGGGTGGGTGAGTAGGTGGGTGGGTGTTTGGGTGGGTGGGTGTTTGGGTGGGTGGGTGTTTGGGTGGGTGGGTGGGTGAGTGCGTGGGTGCGTGAGTGAGTGCGTGGGTGGGTGAGTGCGTGGGTGAGTGGGTGGAGGCGTGGGTGAGTGGGTGGAGGTGTGGGTAGGTGAGTGGTTGAATGAGGAGGTTGATGCTATTGCCGGCCTTCATAGCTGCTGCTGCTGCTCGCTGATGGCACTCGCTGATGGCACTTGCCCCACCAGATTGTTGAAGCTACACGGGGGACCTTTGTGTTGTGTGTGTGTGGTGGGGGGGGCTGAGTGCCACCATCGTGCTGAGTGGAGATGCGCGCGTCACTAGACGCGGAGCGCGCACGGGCGCAGGTGAGGCGAGCGGGTGAGTTGGTGAGTTGGTGAGTGAGTTGGTGAGTTGGTGAGTGGGTGGGTTGGTGAGTGGGTGAGTGAGTGAGTGAGTTGGTGAGTGAGTGAGTGGGTGGGTTGGTGAGTTGGTGAGTGGGTGGGTTGGTGAGTGGGTGAGTTGGTGAGTTGGTGAGTGGGTGGGTTGGTGAGTGGGTCAGTGAGTGAGTTGGTGAGTTGGTGAGTGAGTGAGTGAGTTGGTGAGTTGGTGAGTGGGTGGGTTGGTGAGTTGGTGAGTGGGTGGGTTGGTGAGTGGGTGAGTTGGTGAGTTGGTGAGTGGGTGGGTTGGTGAGTGGGTCAGTGAGTGAGTTGGTGAGTTGGTGAGTGAGTGAGTGAGTTGGTGAGTGAGTGAGTGAGTGAGTTGGTGAGTGAGTGAGTGAGTTGGTGAGTTGGTGAGTGGGTGGGTTGGTGAGTGGGTGAGTTGGTGAGTTGGTGAGTGGGTGGGTTGGTGAGTGGGTCAGTGAGTGAGTTGGTGAGTTGGTGAGTGAGTGAGTGAGTTGGTGAGTTGGTGAGTGGGTGGGTTGGTGAGTTGGTGAGTGGGTGGGTTGGTGAGTGGGTGAGTTGGTGAGTTGGTGAGTGGGTGGGTTGGTGAGTGGGTCAGTGAGTGAGTTGGTGAGTTGGTGAGTGAGTGAGTGAGTTGGTGTGTGAGTGTGAGTGAGTTGGTGAGTGAGTGAGTGAGTTGGTGAGTTGGTGAGTGGGTGGGTTGGTGAGTGGGTGAGTTGGTGAGTTGGTGAGTGGGTGGGTTGGTGAGTGGGTCAGTGAGTGAGTTGGTGAGTTGGTGAGTGAGTGAGTGAGTTGGTGAGTGAGTGAGTGAGTGAGTTGGTGAGTGGGTGGGTTGGTGAGTGGGTGAGTTGGTGAGTTGGTGAGTGGGTGGGTTGGTGAGTGGGTCAGTGAGTGAGTTGGTGAGTTGGTGAGTGAGTGAGTGAGTTGGTGAGTTGGTGAGTGGGTGGGTTGGTGAGTTGGTGAGTGGGTGGGTTGGTGAGTGGGTGAGTTGGTGAGTTGGTGAGTGGGTGGGTTGGTGAGTGGGTCAGTGAGTGAGTTGGTGTGTTGGTGAGTGAGTGAGTGAGTTGGTGAGTGAGTGAGTGTGTGAGTTGGTGAGTGAGTGCGTGAGTTGGTGAGTTGGTGAGTGGGTGGGTTGGTGAGTGGGTGAGTTGGTGAGTTGGTGAGTGGGTGGGTTGGTGAGTGGGTCAGTGAGTGAGTTGGTGAGTTGGTGAGTGAGTGAGTGAGTTGGTGAGTTGGTGAGTGGGTGGGTTGGTGAGTTGGTGAGTGGGTGGGTTGGTGAGTGGGTGAGTTGGTGAGTTGGTGAGTGGGTGGGTTGGTGAGTGGGTCAGTGAGTGAGTTGGTGAGTTGGTGAGTGAGTGAGTGAGTTGGTGAGTGAGTGAGTGGGTGAGTTGGTGAGTGAGTGTGTGAGTTGGTGAGTTGGTGAGTGGGTGGGTTGTGAGTGGGTGTGTTGGTGAGTTGGTGAGTGGGTGGGTTGGTGAGTGGGTCAGTGAGTGAGTTGGTGAGTTGGTGAGTGAGTGAGTGAGTTGGTGAGTGAGTGAGTGGGTGGGTTGGTGAGTTGGTGAGTGGGTGGGTTGGTGAGTGGGTGAGTTGGTGAGTTGGTGATGGGTGGGTTGGTGAGTGGGTCAGTGAGTGAGTTGGTGAGTTGGTGAGTGAGTGAGTGAGTTGGTGAGTTGGTGAGTGGGTGGGTTGGTGAGTTGGTGAGTGGGTGGGTTGGTGAGTGGGTGAGTTGGTGAGTTGGTGAGTGGGTGGGTTGGTGAGTGGGTCAGTGAGTGAGTTGGTGAGTTGGTGAGTGAGTGAGTGAGTTGGTGAGTGAGTGAGTGAGTGAGTTGGTGAGTGAGTGAGTGAGTTGGTGAGTTGGTGAGTGGGTGGGTTGGTGAGTGGGTGAGTTGGTGAGTTGGTGAGTGGGTGGGTTGGTGAGTGGGTCAGTGAGTGAGTTGGTGAGTTGGTGAGTGAGTGAGTGAGTTGGTGAGTTGGTGAGTGGGTGGGTTGGTGAGTTGGTGCGTGGGTGGGTTGGTGAGTGGGTGAGTTGGTGAGTTGGTGAGTGGGTGGGTTGGTGAGTGGGTCAGTGAGTGAGTTGGTGAGTTGGTGAGTGAGTGAGTGAGTTGGTGAGTGAGTGAGTGAGTTGGTGAGTGAGTGAGTGAGTTGGTGAGTTGGTGAGTGGGTGGTTGGTTGGTGAGTGGGTGAGTTGGTGAGTTGGTGAGTGGGTGGGTTGGTGAGTGGGTGAGTGAGTTGGTGAGTGGGTCAGTGAGTGAGTTGGTGAGTTGGTGAGTGGGTGGGTTGGTGAGTGGGTGAGTGAGTTGGTGAGTTGGTGAGTGGGTGAGTTGGTGAGTGAGTGAGTGAGTTGGTGAGTTGGTGAGTGGGTGGGTTGGTGAGTGGGTGAGTTGGTGAGTTGGTGAGTGGGTGGGTTGGTGAGTGGGTGAGTTGGTGAGTGGGTCAGTGAGTGAGTTGGTGAGTGGGTGGGTTGGTGAGTGGGTGAGTGAGTGGTGATGGGTGAGTGGGTGAGTGAGTTGGTGAGTTGGTGAAGTGGGTGGGTTGGTGAGTGAGTGAGTTGGTGCGGTTGGTGAGATGGGTGGGTTGGTGTGAGTGGGTGAGTGAATGTTTGGTGAGTGGGTCAGGTGAGTGAAGTTGGTGAGTTTGGTGATGGGTGGGTTGGTGAGCGGTGGAGTGAGTGAGTTGGTGATGTTGGTGAGTGGGTGAGTGAGTTGTGAGTTGGTGAGTGGGTGGGTTGGTGAGTGAGTGAGTTGGGTGACGTTGGTGTAGTGGGTGGGTTGGTTGCAGGTGGTGAGTGAGTTTGGTGAGTGGGTCAAGTGAGTGAGTTGGTGAGTTGGTGAGTGGGTGGGGTTGGTGAGTGGGTGAGTGAGTTGGTTGAGGGTTGGTGAGTGGGGCAGAGCGGGTGAGTTGGTGAGTGAGTGAGTGAGTTGTGTGAGTTGGTGAGTGGGTGGGTTTGGTGAGTGGGTGAGTTGGTGATTGGTGAGTGGGTGGGTTGGTGGAGTGGGTGAGGGGTGAGTTTGGGTGGTGGGTCAGTGAGTGAGTTGGTGAGTGGGTGGGGTTGGTGAGTGGGTGAGTGAGTTGGTGAGTTGGTGAGTGGTGAGTGGTGAGTGAAGTTGTGGAGTTGGTGAGTGGGTGGGTTGGTGAGTGGTGAGTTGGTGAGTTGGTGAGTGGGTGGGTTGGTGAGTGGGTGAGTGAGGTTTGGTGCGTGGGTCAGTGAGTGAGTTGGTGGAGTTGGTGAGTGGGTGGTTGGTGGAGTGGGTGAGTGAGTTGGTGAGTTGGTGAGTGGGTGAGTGGGTGGGTTGGTGAGTGAGTGAGTTGGTGGTTGGCGAGTGGGTGGGTTGGTGAGTGAGTGAGTTGGTGAGTTGGTGATTGGGTGGGTTGGGTGAGTGAGTTGGTGAGTTGGTGAGTGAGTGAGTTGGTGAGTGGGTGAGTGGGTGAGTTGGTGAGTGAGTGGAGTTGGTGAGGCGGTGAGTGTGGTGAGTGGGTGGATTGGTGAGGCGGGTGAGTTGGTGAGTGAGTTGGGTTGGTAGAGTGGGTGGGTTGGTGAATGGGTGAGTTGGTGGATTGGTGAGCGGGTGAGTTGGTGAGTGAGTGGGTTGGTGAGCGGGTGAGTGGGTGGGTTGGTGAGTGGGTGGGTTGGTGAGCGGATGAGTTGGTGAATGAGTGAGTTGGTGAGTGGGTGAGTGGGTGGGTTGGTGAGTGGGTGAGTTGGTGAGTTGGTGAGTGGGTGGGTTGGTGAGTGGGTGAGTGAGTTGGTGAGTGGGTCAGTGAGTGAGTTGGTGAGTTGGTGAGTGGGTGAGTGGGTGAGTGGGTGGGTTGGTGAGTGGGTGAGTGAGTTGGTGAGTTGGTGAGTGGGTGAGTGGGTGAGTGAGTTGGCGAGCGGGTGAGTTGGTGAGTGAGTGAGTGAGTTGGTGAGTTGGTGAGTGGGTGGGTTGGTGAGTGAGTGAGTTGGTGAGTGAGTGAGTTGGTGAGTGAGTGAGTTGGTGAGTTGGTGAGTGGGTGGGTTGGTGAGTTGGTGAGTGGGTGGGTTGGTGAGTGGGTGAGTTGGTGAGTTGGTGAGTGGGTGGTTGGTGAGTGTGAGTGAGTGGGTCAGTGAGTGAGTTGGTGAGTTGGTGAGTGGGTGGGTTGGTGAGTGGGTGAGTTGGTGAGTGGGTGAGTGAGTTGGTGAGTTGGTGAGTGGGTGGGTTGGTGAGTGAGTGAGTTGGTGAGTTGGTGAGTGGGTGGGTTGGTGAGTGGGTGAGTGAGTTGGTGAGTGGGTCAGTGAGTGAGTTGGTGAGTTGGTGAGTGGGTGGGTTGGTGAGTGGGTGAGTGAGTTGGTGAGTTGGTGAGTGGGCGAGCGGGTGAGTTGGTGAGTGAGTGAGTGAGTTGGTGAGTTGGTGAGTGGGTGGGTTGGTGAGTGGGTGAGTTGGTGAGTTGGTGAGTGGGTGGGTTGGTGAGTGGGTGAGTGAGTTGGTGAGTGGGTCAGTGTGAGTTGGTGAGTGGGTGGGTTGGTGAGTGGGTGAGTGAGTTGGTGAGTTGGTGAGTGGGTGAGTGGGTGAGTGAGTTGGTGAGTTGGTGAGTGGGTGGGTTGGTGAGTGAGTGAGTTGGTGAGTTGGTGAGTGGGTGGGTTGGTGAGTGGGTGGTGAGTTGGTGAGTGGGTCAGTGAGTGAGTTGGTGAGTTGGTGAGTGGGTGGGTTGGTGAGTGGGTGAGTGAGTTGGTGAGTTGGTGAGTGGGTGAGTGGGTGGGTTGGTGAGTGAGTGAGTTGGTGAGTTGGCGAGTGGGTGGGTTGGTGAGTGAGTGAGTTGGTGAGTTGGTGAGTGGGTGGGTTGGTGAGTGGGTTGGTGAGTTGGTGAGTGAGTGAGTTGGTGAGTGGGTGAGTGGGTGAGTTGGTGAGGGAGTGAGTTGGTGAGCGGGTGAGTGGTGAGTGGGTATTGGTGAGCGGGTGAGTTGGTGAGTGAGTGGGTTGGTGAGTGGGTGGGTTGGTGAATGGGTG